GCTCGTGTGAGCACAGCATCTAAAGTCTGCCATGACTGTATGAAACAGTATTGTTTCACTCAAGCATCCACGTTATCTAGCCAGTTTGTCCTCTTATGGTTGAACAAATTCATCGATAACGCCTGAACTGACGGAAAGTAATTTCTTACTACCGCTGGGAGACATTTCAGTGATTGCTTACATTGATCTGTCACAAAGGAAGGGCCTGTAGGTAAAGTTAGTCTACCAAAAAATCATAAAATGAGTGTTATTTATAGGGAACTGGCGGATTTTCGGGTAATCTTTGAACTTCCAATCTGATGTCCGCCTAGATTTAGGTCCACCAGGTAGATTAGGGCGGTCAACCAGGTAGGCGAGATTGCACTGTGTTTCGGTAGAACAAGAATGCGGGAAGTCAATTGGGAAGTTTACGTAACGCAAAAGGGAAGACTGAATAACCCACTTTTCGAATCAAAATTCTGCGTTATAGAAACGTCAACGATAAACTGCTGAGTGAAATATCTGTTGTAAATGCCTAGAGCAAGAAAAGCACAGCGACGGGGGGCCCAGTGCTTTATAAAAACCGAAAAAATACCCTACAGTTCATGTAGTTGATGTCTCCTATTCAACATGTACTTCATAGCAGAGGGCTCAGTAGCATAGCAGTCAAACATCTTGAATAACGCAACAACTAATCGTTGGGTTCGGAGATGAATTTTTTCAACACATTTACAGTTGTGCGTTACAAATTTAAATATCGTAATAAGAAAGCTGTAACAGCAAAAATGGTCTGAGATGAAATGGTCGAATCAAGTCTTGTAACTTTGAAAACGTGGTGCGACATCGTTAAAACGAGCACACGATTCACAAAGGTCGTTCAGTCAAACGGTGCCGTTCACGTGTCTTGTCAATGGGTGAGAGCAGAGATCGCTTAAGCACGTGCTTAGTTTCTGATTGTAAAAGTCGGAGGTGCACACACTTTTCATTCTGTCGATATAACATACTCAGCAAGGACAAGCAAAAGGTTATACATAAATCAAGGTGGTTCGATGTTAAGTCGTTTTTCAGCATTTTTTCCACAATGGACAACTATTTTAGGCGTACAACAGGTACGCCTAGTCCCTTTGTGTGGTTTATGGCTTCCAAATTAACTGAACTGTCACAGTTGATGAACAGCAGTTTTTCTGGCACATCTGTGTTGCTATGTTTTTTTCTGCATCCGGTTTCATATTTCGTCCCAGAAGTCGATTTGGATATTCATGGGCCCTCAAGGTGTTAGTCTCTGGGGCGAGATGTCTCAATAATTGGAGTGCGAATTTACTGACCAGAAGGTCTGTGGTTCGAACCCGACCTCTGACTTTCGACTTCCCTTGTTCAGGCTCAGGCAACCTGGCAGTATCCGAGCCCTCGTGCTTCCTTCTGATGGCATGGCAGTTAGGCACCGAAAGGGTGGTACATCTGAAAGACCAAGATGTTAGTCTTCACTATGTAAGCCATTGATATCTTGTGGCACACACAATGCTTGAGATTTCTCTCATCTTTCAAGAAAACAAAACTGGAAACCGTTTTAAGACGAATTAAACACGCTCCCTATGGGCACTCCTCTGTCCATCCATCAACTGGTCGTGTAACAAGCAGGTCAAGGAAAGACAAATTTTCCTATCAATTCGGTTTGCACGTAAACATCGCGTCTGGAGAGGCATGATGCTTCTGGAATTTCCGCGCTGTCTGTCGTTCTACTACGTATCAACAGGTATCGCTTACTTAACTAAAATCCCAGCGTACACATTTCATTTCCAGCCTTAGGGGTCTCTTACTGACGCAAATATATCCGTCATATTTACACCGACACGATATCTGGTCGTTAGGCTAGTTGTATGCTGGTACAATGTACCAGAAAAATGAAACCTCAGGTTCACCAAACATCACAGATGACATTAGATTTGATGTGATTTAAAGCTCCTGGTTAGATGTTTCTGGAATAAGTCGCTTGTGTATCCCACAGTCTGTTACCGGTAAACACATGAATAGTGGAGGTGTATCTAAGGGAGATACTGTCTTAGTTGACAAGTCATGTGACTGGATAGGATGACTATTGACACATGCATCAAGAATGCCGTACTTGACTATGAGATAACACATTCACCTAGCTACACTTTGAGAGAGCGAGTTATAAACATCAAGGATAAAAAATTGATCAACTTCAGTTTTGTATATCACGGATAAACCACACGGCTAAAGAACGACAGCTTCAGTAGTTTGGATCTCATCAGTTTGGCGTAGTTTGCATTTATCAGTCATATGGTGCAGACGCCAGCTGCTCTTCACTCGTTTACTAAACAACTTTGGCGTTACACATCGCCCAAAATTTGACAGTACCACCGAGATTGAATTCCATCTCCCTTATCTTTGGTTCACCAGAACATCCCCAGTCCATTTTTATAGGTTAGATATAATGACGTTCTTACTGATCTTTAGTCGCTTAAGCAAGGTTCTTTCTTCGGATTAGCCAGCTCGTGCTCGTAACATACGTAGATCAGAGTCAACTCAAATGATTCACGGTCCATATCAGGATGAACTAATGGGTCTCTTGACTAAGCACAGAGATTTTCATTCAAGGCGCCTCAACCTATCAAGAAATTACCGGAAGAAGCAACAGGGAGCCTCAAATCCATAGAAGAAAACCCGCAGCTCTACGGTGTTCACGACAAGTGTTAAAAAACTGTACACTTATACTTCATATCAGTTGGGGAATAATGGTGTTCTATCCAATCTCAACGGGCGATTTTTCCTTCATCCATCCTTTTCCAAACTCTTCTAGCACCATTTTCAGACTTTCATCGGAAACTCATATATCACAAACTGTGCAGCTACTGGGTCACATTTTGTCTCAGTTCACATACAGATGTTTCCAGCCGGTCCAAATCACACGCTTTAGAGTCCTTCCTTCATTTGTCGTCACAAATTCTTCACGTATAAAGACGCATCTCTGTTGGTTTCCAGTCCAGGATGGAGAACCGCGCCTGATTTAGAGACTAGCTTTGAAAAATGGCACCTTGAGACCTCTAATGTTTGCCAAAAGACTCTCAGCTCTCATAGTACCAGGAAATGCCCCTAAACTTTTTTGTCCTGAAAAAGGAACATAGTAACAATACTGATTCATACCTGGCGGATCTGTTCTGGCGAAATCTGTCCTAAAAGTTTTATGTGTAAGACATGTGTAGGATGATTGACACTGCGTTGGCGAGGATATCACAGCAAACCGTTTTTTCACCTTATTATTCACCTACAGAAGCGCACTTCTTGATGAAGGCATCTATTCGTGGGTTTAAATTTTGCAAACTCTCATCAGTTGTGTGACGGTTGCCGGCTGCATGGAAAAGCGCTTTGTACTGGAACCACTTTAAGATCGGGTCGATTGATGTCACAAATATGGTTAAAAGAATGTTACTGATATTTTAGGCCTTCAGTGATTAAGTAACTGTGTTTCCTCATTCCTAAGTACTCCTTTCGATGGCATAATGTGTAATACCTGGTTAACGAAGAACGACAAAATGTTTCTTTCCTATCTTCTGATATTTGTTTTGGAGATTCTGGCACTTCAAGGCTCGTTTTCCTTGATTAATTCAACTGGACCCTGAGGAGGTAGCGGGAGAAATATTCTGATACATTGAGAAAGGAAAGAATTTGACATTGTCTGCCTCCTGCATGATATGTAATTTTTACACAAATGTATTGAATAAGTTTTTATTCGACTTCAGTTGGACCTGATTGATCCCGCAACATCAAACGTGTGCGTTACTATACAGAAAAAGATCGTGTCTGAGGAAGCTCAAAAACCCTACAGAAGATTAGAAAAAGCGATCTGCATTAGCTTTGCCACTGTACCGGAGACAGTTTTCAACCAAACCTATGAAATGACTGCCGAGTGACGGACTGTTGGGGCAAATCCCAGGCCGGACAACATTCAGGTAAACACTCCCAAGATATAACAGATTAAAAGCTGCCAATCTCATCCTGCTGTGGCTCTATGATGAAAGTAAAACAAATCTAGAATGCTCACTAGTGTGAAGCCAAAGCGCGTTCTAAGAAGGCATTAGGGATACATTGGGGACATTCCAAGTTGTGCGCAAAAATGTTGATCTTTTACTCTCGCTGCACAATCAGTCTTAGGATATTTCGCTGTTTTGATAGATTGAAGGAGGGGTTAAAAGAGTTTGAATATGGTATTTGTTATTATGTAGTATTATAAATTAACTGATATTATTAATAGTATAGAACTTCAGTATAAATGTAAATAAATAAAATAATAATCGGTGTTGATAATATTCTGAAGTTAAGAATATTATGCTACCAAGTGGTCAAGATGTTGGTACTATGCATGAAGTCTATTTTCTGTTTTTTTTTCAGCAAAACTGAGATCTGGCACTTGCACACGTATATTACTCATTCCCAGCTGGCTTGAAAATTGGTTTCTGTCACCTAGTAAACAGACAGATTAGGTTTTGTTATAATCACGCCATGTCGGTTAGATGTCTTCAGGTAGCTTAGAGCACGGAGTACAGTCACTAGTCCTGTGGAAAGATAACCCCCACGGAAACAGCTAACCCCATCCACTTCGCTATCACAGAAGGTGGTGTGGAATACTGCACGCCGATGCACTTTCGCTGGTAATGTCAACTAATTAATTCTGTCTTCCTGAGCTCTCCATGGGCTAACCTTTTTATGGATGGGAAACGAATTTAGTCTCGTCTATGGTTTCAAGCTGACCAATAAGTTTGTTCGGCCCGGGGTCACTCGTTCGGTTGTATGTCAATAGTGGTTTGATCTGTCTCACGTTTCAAAACCATAGACCACTCTCCCGGCTCGTTCAACCCTAATATATCACGACTTCATCCAATGGTGCTGAATTTTGATTATTATAATTGGATCGGTGGCCAGGTTTTAGAATTCTAACGCATGCAGTAATTATAAAAAGTCAAATTAAGGGAACACCGTCTAAATGTATGTATAACACTTACTGCTCTTTTATGAGAACGTAAAACTGAATAGCGCTCACTTTTGCTGAATTCGTCCCTAGAATAGGATGTATCTTGCATTATCCCAAGTGGTCCTTCTGATCCACCGAACCAATAGCTGGAGTGGGATTAATTTATAAAAACTGGTTGTTGGGTCAAGTTCTTTTAATTCTGTTGCATTTTGCATCTGGAATTTCACGATTAATGCATAAAAATTTCGTCATTATTACATGTTTACACACAGAACTTTGATGCGGCAGCATTCCACTCATTCCTCGGAGGGTTCTTCTGTCAGCAACTTTGTGTACTGTATGTCATGTCGTAGATTCGCACTGCAGGAACTCCGGTGACCATCGGCGCTGCCCTGAGCACCTGTCCAATCTGGTGTCACTCCGGAACATTTGGCCCCAATGAGAAGGGTAACAAGCTGAAGAACAGCGACACCAAACATTAGCCATACAACTGCAATAGCAGTATACATTACATTCTCATGGCTTTCCTCATTCCATGCGTGGCCTGCTTTTGGATCAAGGATTATGGCCATCTGCCATGTCCAGGCTCCTGAAACCATCACAATCAGACACTTGGTCCAGCTGAAAAGGAAAGTATTGCGAAATTCCATTTCGCCTGCTATCCCGACTGCCGCCAAAACGCCCAAGTAACTGGATATTAGACGACTAGTGGCGGTCACGTGGGGTTGGTCATAGGCCTGGGCTCGCAAATAATAGGCCTGAAGTACAAAAGGCAGTAAATGGCACATATAGTCCACTCTATCTGGTAGAAATAGCATGGTTGACTGTAAGATATCCACCAGGGCCGCAATCAGCATGGCCGTGTAGAAGGGGTAGTGAGTGTATGTCGGATGACGTCCCATGTGTACACTAACAGCTTCAGCGGCCAATCCAATGGAACATAAGGACAACTTTACCAGTCCTTCACCAATGAGATTTGGGCAACATCCAGACTCAATGGAAACTGTTGCTTCGTACTTCCAATTCGGACGACGTATGGTGCTGTAGCGTCGGCGAACGGCACTGATCCACCACCACAACCCGAGCCCGAACACAAAGGTACCTAGGATTGAATGGCTCAATAGCAAACCGTCATTTCCGATAGCCTTTCCATGGTTATGAGGCATCGCCCCATTATGAATAGTCTCATTGTGCGGCATGCTCATTTTGATGAAAGAGTCGTTTGCATGGGCAAGCCTAGTTTCTTGAACAGTGTCATTCGCTGTGCATTCCCACCTTTTGATTGGTTGTTTATCATGGCATCTTTCTGTCTCTGATTGGCTGTTTGTGCAAATAGTGAAGCCACCTGTGTTTCGTGCAAACGCTTGTAGGTGCATGGATAACAACGGTGACAGACAACCGTGTGTCGAATAAATATGAATGCTTTCCGAGTGCTCTTCGCGAAACTTTCAGCCCGAACACGAAACTTTCGGGAACCGTTTGTTGAACACACGATACCTGATGATTTATACTCTCATAAATAACACTGATATAGGAATTTAATGATGAAATTTTCCGGCGAAAATACCTTACGGATGCTTTGAAAAAGCATACAGCACTGATTAAACTACGCGTGGGTTCTTGATTGAATTAGGTAACTCCTTCATCCACTCACTGTGGTAAAATGAATGCTTAAAGAATCTGACTTTGCATCAACTACTTGACGGATAACAAGATGATACCGTAGGGAAGACCGATTTCCGTCTCATCTGCGCATCCGAAATACCGCGGATTTAGGATGAACTATTGCATTCGTTTTATGCTAAGACTTCGACTAAAGTCTTATGCAAGAGGCCAAGTCCAAAATGAAAGGGATGCTTCGCTACGCGCTGCGTTATCTTGCGGATTTACTTCTGAACCATTCGCGTCCTGGTCGCCGAGCACAGGACAATGCAGCGAGAGAAACCTACCAGTGCTGGTAAAGCCCGAAGGAGCATTTCGTACCTGTCTTGAAATACGTAGTACCGCATTACTTTACCGCAGTATTCTTCTGCTAGTAATAATTTTTAACATTTTTTATTCTGCATGAATGTTTTCATTTCCATCAAAATCACCAATAAGCTCACTTCAGTCGTCACCATCAACACCCCATCCTTTAAAGAAGCGGTGTGATCACAGTAATCGTTCACAAAAATAGTAGCTTTCATCACCGGCGCATACAACTCGCACACTCGTACCACGCGCACTGCCACATAGTTCACTGAGCGTTTTCAAAGGAGACTGCCCCCTAAAAAAAACATTTTATGCCGAAAGGCTAAGAAGCACCTGACAGACGTATTTTCCTTCGGTAATCTTCGTCAATAAGAACCTCACAAGTATCTGAGACGATCCAAACTCACGAACTCCTCAGTTTTTAGCTGAGCGCTTCGTCATTTTGTTAATAATTTGATTAATATGTCAATCAGTAGTTCCATTTCAGTTGACCGCCGACACCTAAAAGATGGGAACCAACAAATTGTCCGATCGCCGGCCTTTATCCCCAGCAGAGAACTCATTACAATCAGCCTTTTGTGAAAGTCTTGGGAAGGAGTTTGATTCCGAATCCTATTTGGTTTTCATATAAGTAATATAATGGACAGTCTGCTTGTTCATATCACCGTTAGTAGCAAATTTTACCTAATTCCAACTGGTATCCACGCGAAAACACTATCCATCTGCAGCACCGTCCAGCCCAAAACAAAATAGGTTAATTAGCGCATAACTATATGTTTATTGTTTAAGCAAAGTGAAACTCTTTTGGTTAAGTTCTGGGCTTATCAATCCTTTTTTGTGACTGTCTTATTTGACGTCCATAAACGGTCTTCTGAAAATTATCGGTTGAAAATGGACCTAGGAAAAGTTTTGAATATTTAAGTAGTCTTTATCACTCTCGAACGATTGACTGTGTAATGGTGCTCAGCGCCATCTCGGCAACCTGAAGGTAGTGGAATCTACCCTAATAAGTATACTTCGAAGCATTTTGGGAATTATACTTTCAGATATCTGATGAATGTGTCCATTTAAGCAATCGGTCTGGGACAGCCGATGATGAGAAATTGCGCGCAGTTCTGGAACGGCATATAGTCAGGTATTTCACATAACTTCTCGATTAAAGGTGGACCTCAAGACCATCACACTGGATGAGACGTAATCTTTGATCACTCCCCACTGCGCATACGAATCTAGTTTGCTCGATCCTCCCATTTGGAATTACTTTGCGCGCTGTTGCAATACCACGTAATTGTGCTTCTTCAGTCCTTAAGATGAGACGACGAAGTAACGAAACAGTGTTTTGTGAAGCAGGGTTAAACCTCCTCCTAGAATTTTCAAAAGTGACTTGCAAAGCAACCTTTCGAACAGAGCCCTGTTGAGAATATAAGCCACTGAGCTACTTGGATGGGTTACAAGTGCACGATAACGTTTCTTGTCTTAGGATTCTAGCTCCGTTATTGTTTTCACTTATCATCCATATGAAATAACCACAGGCAACTCTAAACCACGCTGTGGAGTTAGCGATCTTTCCGAAGCAGCTGGAATTAGCTTGTGTCGTTAGTCGGGTAGACAGGGAATACAGAAGCTTTGGCGAATTCTGCTGATAGCTAGAGTGCGCGCTTTGCAATAATTACTTTGGTTCTTGGTGTGATAGTTAAAATTCCAAAAAAACTTAGGTAGCAAGGGAAAAATGCGCAGAACAACGTGGGTTGGGCTGACGTGCTGGAAACATGTTCCCGCGAACTTTGTGTTCCCTAGGGACTCAAACTTGAAAGTACAGGTTTTTGGAGTGCCGTTTTTCAGTAGGTCTTCAGTTAAAACGTTAAGCGGCATACACACCGGATGTTGTTCGAATAATTTTATACCTATTTATGTGGCGACGGCCTTTGCTCATTCTTGCTGGATGATTAGGGTGTGCTCCCCAGCTGCTTGGCGTTGCTGATGCGACAAGCACATTTTTGTGTGCAAATCTGGTAGGAACCTAAGATTGAAAGACGCCCTTCGGATATTTGCCTCACGTTTGTTGTGCTTCTTTCACAGTGGGCTAGACGGCAAGTTTTCTAAAAGACATGAAAAAAGCGACACAAACAGTACGCGACCGTGTACGCAACTACTACCCACATGTATGTGTATCCTACGTTTGTATATACTTTCAGAGGACTAGCTCAAGATTGGCGTCCCAATTACCACTCCAAAACCACGCTCTAAGTATATAATAGCTTGCTTACCCTATATTTTTGAAAATTTATTTGAAGAAAAGTTGAACAGAGGCATCCACTGCCTGTATGTACATATCAAAGCCTTGAAGGTATGAAGACGGTACATGACCATGTATGTCTCAAACCCACACCCACACAGTAGTAGATGGATTTATTTAAACAACTTTATCCCACTCAAAGCAGAAGTCAGCACGTTCCTCGCACGATAGGCAAGAAAATTTTGATCGAAACAAACTTTAGTTAATAAGCTTATTTCTGGCACGTATTTTGGGAGGTTTAGACGTCCGGATCGATTGGTTCGGGAGAAAACGTTAGACCCAAACCACTAAAACCCTTTGCCTAAGGTGTACTCCTGGTTACCCGGGCAAAAAATACTGGAACAACCATAAAAATACGACATTGTACAATGCTAAGATATGACATGCCTTCTATGTTCGTGCAGTGATCAGAGAGATCCCCAGAATACGGTTTTTTGTTGCGCCATTTTCAGGTTGTCTACTCCCGTCAAGAGGAATTTACGAGGTTCCGGTGCATGCCAATCTCTTCGCATCTCTGGATGGGTTTTCAGAAAGTCATTCGACTTTTGGCAGTCCTTCCTGAGAAAACTGTGATCTCCTAATCAGGCTAAACAGGGTCGTCAGACAAGCGAGGTTCACCTCGTACATTCGTTTCAGCCTTGAAACGCTTAAAACAGCGTAAGACATATGCCACAGTGCAGCTTACAACGCTTGTTTAAGTCTAAAACAACGTGATCAACATGACAATTCCGCCTTCTTGAAAAAGAGGACAGACTTAAAGCGATCACTCAAGAATACCCAATACTTGTGACGGCTTGCTCCTTTCTAAAAACTGGAATGACTAGGCGAAGTTAATCCTAGGTCTTGCTTCGGACTGATGCTTGGTGATAGGCGATTTAACCCTGTATTCTCTTAGAGTTGAGTTCAGGCTGACGTGATACGGAGTGCTGTCTTTCTCACTTTTCAATTTTTCTATCATTTCTACCGACATACATACCACCGAAAATATAGACAAACTGATAAGTTCATGTGTCATGGATAGGACTAAAGTCGGTATTTAGACTGGTTGCAGTGATATATTCCGTGTAGAAGTACTGACAGGTTCAAGACACTGAAACTCAGTATGAGCAATAAAACCAGGCAAAAACAAATCAGCAACTCATGAGTACTGTATCTGTCCATGAATAGCACCTGTTAAAACGTGTAGACTTTCACATTATCTCTTCTCATTCCACCACTTATTATGGTGTTTGCTGCTAGACCCTTCAGTTGCTTTCACCTTGCAACCAAACAAAACTAAAATCGTCGACAATATAGGCAACGAAGTCGTGACACCGGCCTATGGAACTCTTGTTTGAATGTTCACGAACAGACTTCTGTTTTTTGCAGATGACTTGCTTATGCTTGTCTCAGTGGGCCTCAGAACATGAAGCACTCTTAATCACATATCTGCGAAACTGAGAACCGCTTGATGACTAACTGAGAATCCATCAATCGAAGAACTAGTCTATATATGGCCAAGTGATTTGATTCTCGCGATTAGAGGCTGAATGACGATACACCCCTTCTAGCTGCCAGTTATTCATAGTGCAGATCAGCCTCTAAGACCAAACAGTCGGTTGGTGACGGGTTCGAAACATCCTGGGGTTTCGTGAGATGTGCACCTATGATAATCCTCAGTAAGGATAGAACGGCCGCACAGAAATTCCATGAAATATGTCGACATACCTGAATATTCTCGTTACTGTATCCCACAGTTTTCATCAACGATACGTCAAAAAATATCTTTCGGTTGAGAGAACTGTTTAATCTTTTAGTTTTGTTGGTACCATTCGAAGTTAGTTGCCACTATTGTAACCACACGGAAGCCTATTGCCACCTTAGTCGTCCGAGTGCTATGGTTTGTGCAAATGTAGAGTAAATCGAGTGTAGTGTAGTCATAGGTCGAGCGTAAACATCTAAAGCTCACCACTTTCTACGAGACAGTGGGGAACATCGAGATTCTGCTAGCTAGCTACTCCAGCATATAGAGTAACTGAATCAAGACTAATAAGTTTTCAGTCTGTATCCAAGATCTTGTTCATCAGTGTTTTCATAAATCCATAAAATGTCCTACAAGCCCATGTTGGACCAGCCGTATGGTTCCGTTTTGAAATTTCGCTATCCTGTGTGTGAAGCTTCAAGCAACAGTCAATGGTGTTCTTTGTAATGTACCACTCATAAGGTTGCTGAAAATCCGTCGACAGCCCACGACCGGTTCCGCCTTTTTTGGAGCTCATCAGGTAGGCGCAGTCCCCGGATTTCCGTCAACCTTATGTTCTACTTGAAACCAAATTGCACAAAATTAGCGAATATACACTCATTTGTAAACTAATTTAGTTTTTCGAGAGACTCACCTGGAACCCAGCTGAATCTCTCGTTTGTGATGTTTTCAGGTTGACGGAAACCCGAGGACTGCGCCTACCTGATGAACCCCAAAAAGGGCAAAACCGGCCTGGAGCTGTCGACGGATTTCCAGCCACCTTATGAGTAGTACATTAGAAATAAATACATGTATCGCGATATCTCGAACATCGTAGCGATCGAAACATGGGGCGGCCTGGTGCAGCACATTCAGTTGCCTGAAAACATCACAGACGAGAGATTCAGCTGGATTCCAGGTGAGTCTCTCGAAAAACCAAATTAGTTTGCAAATGAGTGTATATTCGCTAAAGTCGATGGAGTTCTTTTATTACAAATCTCTGAAGAGATACAAACGTTCAGTGGTCACTGCACCTAAGACTAACGGAAAACCATATGAGGTGACCGAAATTTTTCCCAATGTGCTGTATCGAGATAGTACTTGAGAATTCATTTTAATTACAGCAGAGGCTGAATCCTATTTTTCCACGGGTTCATATTATATAATGTTAGGATATCCAAAAACCGTAATTTTATAGTTCATTTTCTAAAGGATGATCGGATCATTTCTTTCGACTGTGCTTGAGATGTGAAGAGTCTGGCCTCGGGACCAAGAAGCATTAAATTCCATAGTTTTCAACTTATACGCAGTGGTCTGTTGCTGCTAGTTTGATTTCCAAATAGTGAAATGCAAAACTTCGGAAGCTGTTGGTCGACATATTCACTTAAGTTCCTCGGGGCTTAACCCGTTGCAACCCGGTTTGTTAACTGGTGACTATTTACTGCTTGATGTGAAACTCTGGACAATCTTTTCAACTTTTTACAGAGGTTTGTGAGAGCTCTATACAGCGTATTTTTACTCATTTAAATATATCACTTGGAAAATCGCGAAGTTGAAAAAGTACCTTTGAAAACTACAACCTCTGGGAAATGTGTGCTTAAGTTAACTAATTGTTCGCCAGACCGAAAATAATTTCTCAACAAGAGAGTGCACGCCTAGGGATATTAACACAACCTCGAGAAATAAGTCAAGGGTCATACTTTTTTCTCATTGTTCCTGCTTTAAAAAAATAGAATTGCACAAAGAAACCCGCAAAAGTTCTTGTGTGCAAAAGTTTCATGAGCCGCAATATAGTTCACATTTTTAATTTTTCTGTCAAAAGATGAAAGAAGTAAATTTGTAGATCAGGAAAGCAAACATTGTTTGGTAGGACAGTTGGGAATTTCTATATCTCGGTGGGGAGTGATTACATCCATTCCAGTCGTTGCAAAAACAGTAGCGTTTGTAATCCTCATGCTGGTCCGAAAATAAGCCCATTACCACTTCGGCTAGCGTCATCCCTTTAAGCTGTGACATCAGATAGCTTTGATAATCCTTTGCGTTTCCACAGTAACCTTGGCGACGGACCTGGGGCATCATTTCTCGGTGCTGGGTGTAGAGTAACAGATCGCTTAGGCATCCTCGGGTCACAATTTCTTGATCTAAAATTTATGGGTAGGAAGTTAACAAAACTCAGTCTTTTTCAGGTGACAATTAGTCGCTTCCAGTAAAATGTACTCATTCAAATTAGATATCACCTGTGCCAAAAATTAAGATGCAGTATGAAAATCAATATGAATTTTCCTACATACATCTTTGAACTAAGTCAAATAACATAATATGATGTGCAACAGACATTAAGTTTCAGCGATTCAGCGGGCAGGTCAAAGAAGCAACATGGTGTAAGGTTTAGACTGGTGCAAACAGTGAAGATAACCCGTCAACCCATAGCTCACTATTGCCTAGTTGGATAGATGGATCATGAGCTCCAGAAATTGTGGAAAGCTAGCAAAACCAGAGCCATGGTTTGTAAATTAGGTGGCCAAGTTAATGTTCAAGGGCTAATTTATTTGATAACCCGATGAGCTCTTTCAGTCATCATCATCATCAACAACAGCATGACATCAGTGTTCAACACCGATGCTTCACTGCCGTACAACCATGACTTATTTGAAAGCCTTAT